ATATATGTTTAGATTATATTTTAAGTGTTTGTATTCCAATGGAAACACATTTTCTATCAAATTTATTCTTTATTCGTATGAAACATAATTCCCACTGAGGCTGAGGTAATCACATACGATTTTTGATTACCCACTTATCTTCTACAAATTATTAATTCAGTAGTCTGCTTTCGAACAGTTGCATCCGATCAAGTTTAATAGTTGCAGTCGTCGTCCAACCACATCAAATGCATAACTAAACGAATATTGCAATAACCTTATCAACTTGGCATGTTGGTGTATAAACAAGTATGAATAGTAAGGTGATGTTCCGTTCAACTGCGAGATCTCGCGAGATGCATGAAAGACGCGCGTCGAACGTCTGCCGCAAAAATCGATTTGATTTTGAACTCGAATTTCTGTTATTTCGAGCTAAAATGAACCGGCCGATCTTCGACAGAGGTATATTGCTTTCGAATACCCTGTCTTAATCGAAATTGCCTATCATCAAATGTGTACAGCACATTATTAAGCATCGAAATCCCCTCCAAAATATGTTCGTGTTTGTCGAATCCCACGCGATGTTTGACGCCATTACGACGCTATGACCTTTGTTTGTCCTGTTTTTACGTTCGATTTCACGCATAACGCGTGATTCTCGCAGTGAACGGAAAATGGTCTATGACAAACAAATAACTTTGAAATGAATAACTTGCCTAGCTTGTATTACATACCCACAATCTGTAAAACACCTTACGTAGATAGATTTATTCCTGGATCTTTTAAAACGTTGAACCAAGCAGTTGTCTATCTATTTTGTTTACTATGAGTGAGGGGCTCCCAAAAACATTGCGATGCCATCTTTTCTTGAAGAGGTATAAATCAAATGTGGATATTAAAAAAACCTTTTGTAAAATTATCAAAATCACTTCTAAATGTGAGTTCCATTAACACATCTGATTTGTCTATATACTACTTATATACTACTATACCACATGGTACATGAAAGTTACGTATTAATAAGCATTTTTCAATAAGATGGTTCTAGTCCCTACAAATACATGATGGTTGAATTGTACTACTCATATTGTTCAGCAACAGACTGAGGTAAAGATCGTTTATACACTGAAGATGGAAATATCACTATGCTGGAATTTCTTATTGATAACATATTTGGCGAGTTTGAATTTCCAATGATATACCCAGTTGAACTTGGCATTAAGGAGAATACATATTCTGCTACTTCTGCTTCATACTAATACCTGTCCTTTGAATTTTATTCTAAGTGTCAGATTTCGACCAGAGTACAGAGAGCCCTGGAAAACTATAATAAACTGAACGCTTAGCCCGTTTTGGGTGGGGGATTATCGGCTGGTATCTAGTGTATAAAAATAGGGATACATGTATAGATCTCGCCAAGTTCTGTGTTGTTTAAGATTAGTTTTACATTAGTGTACATACGTGTTTCATGCAGTTTTTTTCGAAATATTAATTTATGTGCAGTCATCTGAGGTACGATACCAGGTGCGTCTTTAAAGCGGGGGAGTCGTCACCTACGCATGCGTCATATAGCCATAGCGTGTCATTGTTTACAAACAAGCGTCTACCCATGAGCCTTTGCGTTTTAGCATGTGTTGTTATCGTCGCTTGGGACTCAAATGGGACGACCCTTCCGCTTTAACAGTATGACAAAAATCGTACAGAATGTGTTTATTTAATAAACTGAATTTAGACGTATTTACTTGTTTTTCGATTGGACTAACGATTTATTTGTGATATTTGATTGGGCACACAATATTTCTGTGTGCTGGACAGAAACAATTTCTTTTGCTCTATGTGAGTGGACATGGTATATTAAATTGTACTCGTCTTGAATGGATTATATTTTTGTTTTCTTTCTTGCGATTAGACATACTGCATGGCTGTGTGCATTGTGGTTGGATCATATGCTTCAGAGAAAGGATGGGAAACTAGAGAATTTCCTTTGAATTACTTATGCTAATTGCTGTTAATGATCATTAAATGCAGCTGGTCCAGGTCAAGAAAATGGCCATTGTACAAAACATCTTGCATTTGGCGTATAGGTCTCATATGAATTTGTGTTCAATAACAATGTGAAGTAAGACAGTTTCAATTTTTTGAGAAAGAGACAAAAATTGTGTGATTTTGCCAACATTCACAAATTATTGACTCATAAAAATCACTATCGATCACACAAGAATGGTTTTACTAACTTTGTTAGCTTTACAAAACACATTTATAAAAACATTTAGTATAGCCAGGCTCGTATATTAAACATTCTGATTTCTTTCGTTGTTTGCCAGGGTTTTAATATTTATGTGTTATTTATGATTGAACAGCCTGTGTTCACAGACTATGTTCATATGTGATACATGTATATACTTGAAAACTAAATATATATATATACTATGTTAATTGAACATGCTATAATTCTGTCTTCTCTTTTGTTGGGAAGATACACATTACATTTCTTTTGACTCTAAGATTGAACACTTTGTCAATCACGGAAAATTAGT